GTGGGCCCCCCTTGTTAGCTTCCGGATCCGCCACTGTCTTTTACAATACAAAGGGGCTTGGTTTAGCATGGGGAATTTTTTTTTTTTGGGGGGGGGGGGGGGGTTGCGGGGGGGGGGGGGGGGGGGGTTCGAGCCCCCCCTTACAAAAAGCTGGCTACAGGTATGAATAACAATAGTAAAATGCTAATGGACTTCATGAGACCAACATATCTTGTAACTGGAACTGAATATATGTTGAAAGCAATACAAGTTATGGGGAAAATACGTCGAATTATACGAAATACTTACGTCTTCTGCTAGCCAAAATGGCCTCAGCCGGGACGAATCTAAATTGCGAATGGTCTATGTGGAACGAAACTGTAGCAATTTCTATCAATGCAATATCATTTATGGAATAAATAGTCTAAATAGTCGATCAAAGATCATTTATAATTCAAATAACCATGCATAAAGAATTTGTTTTCAGTGAAGTCGAGAAGAATTGAGTCCATCTGAACCAAGGCTCAATCACTTTGTCCATTGGTGTCAAACGTCACGCACGTTAGAATTTTATTGGTTCTATTCTATTTTCTGCATACAATAATTGACGAAATTTTCTGAACTGTGAAACTGAGATTAGACAAAGCAATAAAAATCAGTGCTTGGCACTCCTGACAAGACTATTGACATAACCATTAACATAAGGACAAGATGTACATCTTTTATAACGTGCGTAATTGCTTGACACGAACACTTTTATCACATATAAATTAAGCTATGGTGTCAAAAAACAGATTAATGACGAAAACAACCACAATATTTGCTGATTCCAGATGAATGTTCCCTTTCTTACATTTAGGTGTGTGTGAAAATCGTTTTATATCAGCGAGAAATTTAAGTAATTCGTTAATGCGAGAGTATGGCGGATTTACGTGCGTAACGAAGTTTGACACCAATCTTCGAGCAACTTATAAAGACCATATTGCCGCTTCAGAGTTGAAACTTACCACTGGATCTATAACATCGCGTAAATGTGTAAATAAAATACAATTTCATTTACACATGTGATCGCGTATTTTGTATGAAAATAGGCTTTCTAACGTGCGTGACGAGTTTGACACGAAAAACGATAATGCACGCAACTGAGCATAAAAATTATTTTCCATATATACTTCATATAGCATTGAACACAATGAGAGCTCGGTGTATCCTCCTTTCGAAAAAACACTCATCTGCCTTTTTGTAAAAATAATCAGCCTGGAGCTCATGAATAACGTGCGTGATGGTGTTTGACACCATGCATCACGCACGTTAGTTCTAAATTGACATTGTCTTATTTTTCGAGTATGGTAGATTTATTATCTGAAAACGAAATGATTCACATAGGTAACCTCTGTAGACTTGTGGCAACACATTTTTCCGCCTCATTTCCAGAAAGAAAGATCCAGGGGATGTATCTCTGATGTACCCCCCAAAATTGCTTAAAAAACTGCAAAAACAGCTGGACACGAAGCCCAAAAAAGTGAATAACTTCAACAAATTTTAACATTTTCACCTGATATTATCCTCAGTATCTTTTTGACCTCTACTGAGTTGAATAAAATAATCGTTTTTGGCTATACTTCTCAAAATGTTGAGATATCGAGCATGTAATATTTGAACTTTTGAGTGACGAACTTTTGAAAAAGACCCAACTCCGAGCTAAAATTTCTACGCCTTCCCTGTGGCCTGTAGTTTTTCTACGCTCGCCGCAGAAATTCACCGATTTAATTGATCTGCGGTCGACTTGCGGCCGCCGTGCGACAAATATGCCTGGGGTGTAATACCCATTATAAAACTTACGTAACCCAATGCGCCAAAACACATAACAACCAGATTCAACCAGACAAAGAACCACAATTCCGACTGCGATGTCAAACTGCTACAACACAATCGAGCACAACCCAATTATAAACCAACACAATACAGCCAACAAGATAAACACAACTAGACTTAACCAAATACTCAATTAATTATACTCGATTAAATCAAACAATCAAAACACAATCTATGAAACTGTGATATCAGTATATCCAATTAAGCTTCTCTAAATAGAGACAACAATCAACCGGGCAACCACACAACACAATCGTTGACCACCCGAAATATACTCCCCCCCTTCCCGATCAGCATAAGGTTTCTGCTGAACATATCCTGGACCACCAACAATGAGGAACGATATAGAAGTACAGATTCTAACCCTTTTTGAAGTTCCGTCTACTTCATTAAAGTAAGGTCGTCTGAACTATTTGTTCGTTAATATGTTTATTTTCTGAAATATATTAGTTATGATCACTCAATCACTCGATTAACGGTATGCTATGAAAACTATTTTTAATGTTTTTAACTGATGCATTCACTGCATTATTTTCTTGCACTTTGGAGATATTTTCAGATTCTTGCGAAATTGCGTCTTGGAATATCTGCTTGAGAGATGTTTCTCTGTAAACACAAATTTCTATCAACAATTCACAAACTCTGATGGTACATTGTATTCTCGAATAACATATCGTTAAGAATGTTCGAGCTTTGTGACGGACCCGATGCAGAAAACGTTATCCTTCATTTTAAGGGGGGTTTTTACCACACATGGCGAACACTGCCGAGCACTCACAACTAATCCCATGAAAGACATGCTTCGAAATCTGTCCTTAATTGTACAATGCCCCACTTTATTAATTTGAACTAAAAATGATGAGATCTGATTACGTGCGATCGTTTCTTTATGTCATTTGATTTAATCCTGGCTGCCTGTGTTATTCCGCCAAGGTTAAAAAGCGAGTGACTAAATGAATAAATTACAGCTTCATTTAAACCAAAAATCCAAACCAGAGGCGTTTTTAAATCCCGACTAGATTATGTTCCTTGGTACAAAATTATCATATGTAGCTTAACGTATGACATTCAGGACACCTGTTTAAAATAGAAAGTGTTTAATTTCAGAAGCACATTCGCCTGCGCAAAAGCAACCTTTAGCCCCTTCTATTGGGCTACGTGGTAACGCCTTTCATGTTTGAATTGTAAAGAGAAAAAAATATTTCTAGGGCTGCAGATGTCCAATTCCTCACTTTTCTAAGTTTTGCCATTTACAATAAGTAGGAAATTGCAACAAATCATGTAAAGTACAGAATATGCATCCATCCGAAGTTCTAACAAAAATATAAGTTAATAAATAGAAAATTGAATTTAACTTTATTGAACACAAAATTGGTATCTTCTTCGAAAATATTGGGACAGTTCGTAGGTGCAGAAAATAAAGGAACCCGTTTTGGAGTTGAGGCTACCAAACATATAGAGGGATGTATGATATTGGAAAATAATGTATCCTTTTAAAAACAAATGTTAAAATAAATTATAGAAAAGGTGTCCATTCGCCAGTACTTTTTTCAAAATACCCGTTCATTTGTAATTGTCGGTCTTTCATCGGTTTGCCCCTCTTGATTTTATCAGGACCGCCCGCGTCAGTGGGTTATCTTCACTGGAACCAGACTATATTCTTGTCCGACGCATGAGAAAAATGATAATATCAATACTTTTGCAAATGCGGCGTTCCCCTTTTGCTTTTGCAAATGTTGAAAATTGAATGTGAATTGTAACCCCGGGAGTGTAACATTGCTCAGAGGGACTCGATCCCTTAAAACAATTGGACCACAATTTCATTCGTACCTTATTCGCAGAATCGATGGTACAGCTGTAGTAACACCAAGTAGTAACACTATGTTATTTCTAAATGATAAATGTCAAATATTACATTGCTTTGCGAGACCTCTATGGGGACCTCATCAACTTTGAATAAATGTTTCATTTTTCCCCCTTGGAGCCCCTGGGTTTGATACCAATCATAATACATTGTACATCTTCTAAATTACCGCTAGTGACAAATTGAATGATTGTATTTTGATTTTCACTTTACAAATGTCACATACAATCCTGAGGTTACAATAAAGACATATAAAACTGTTTTATATGTCTGTACACAAAGACAATGGGATATGATGTAGTTTCGTGTTACCAGGTTTATCAATCCTATAGTCACTTCATATATAAAAACGTATTTCTCATTTATCAATCGCCAAACTATTGCTGGGGTGTACATATAATTTTGATTGCTGTTAGCTAACCGCGGGACGCACAAATTAGCTCGATCACAATCTCTTTGATAATGAATTGAGCTGTATGTCAAAACTAATTAGGTGCTTTCCCAAGTAGAAATTCACCAATCAGAAAACGTACATATTTGAAGAAAGATATGCATGATGGGATTGAAAAGGATGCCGTTTGTTGATTAAACTACTCACCTATAGTAACATTCCCGGGGAAAATCCTCCCGGGGACAGATTAATGTTCCCTCTATTGACCACACTTGGTACTATACTCCACTCCACCTTTTGTAAATAAGGTCCACATATATATATTTAACACTTAGACTGAAATACGAGGAACATTTTATTAATATATTTAAACCTAGACTGAAATACGAGGAACATTTTATTAATATATTTAAACCTAAATTAAATAAAAAATCCCTCTCTCGTTGTCAGTCAACAAAATGAAACATTGGTTTCTTATGTAAAATTAATGACGTCATACATAAATTAGAATTATACCTGCACAGGTATATATTTTATGACGACATTAATTATAATAATTATAATTACGTCATCCTGCAATTTTCTGTCAGTTGCCTGAGGATTTGAAGAAACTAGTTGCAACAAAATGAAGTCATCTTGTGCTTTTATTTAAATTTTGTTATATATATATATATATATATACTTTTAACTTGAATTATATGTTAGTTCAAACACAATATGTCATATCAGTTAGCTGAAGTGATAGATGATGGTTATAAGTAGTCAGCGTGTAAATAAGAACATGAAACTTTGCATTCCCTTTAAGCTTCTAAACTTTATTTTGAAGAAGGGGAACAAATGTGATGTTAAGAGTAATTTTAAGTCAATGTTAATGTGTTTTTGTGTTGACAGATTTTCCTTGAGGATGTGACTAGTATTGATGTAACCCAGACATCCTTCCTGGAGACCCAGGTTGGGGGTGCTGCCAAGAAGAGAAGGTTGGACTCTGGGTGGGAAGCCCTGAGGGAAACCATTGAGACAGACGCTAGGGAGAGCAATAGTCAGGTGATAGCCAGGTAAGTACCAAGGTTAGATACTCATTGGGACCATTAAGACAGGTGCCAAGGAGAGTGATAGTCAGGTAATAGCCAGGTAAATACCAAGGGTAGATACTCATTGGGACCATTAAGACAGGTGCCAAGGAGAGTGATAGTCAGGTGATAGCCAGGTAAGTACCAAGGGTAGATACTCATTGGGACCATTAAGACAGGTGCCAAGGAGAGTGATAGTCAGGTGATAGCCAGGTAAATACCAAGGGTAGATACTCATTGGGACCATTAAGACAGGTGCCAAGGAGAGTGATAGTCAGGTGATAGCCAGGTAAGTACCAAGGGTAGATACTCATTGGGACCATTAAGACAGGTGCCAAGGAGAGTGATAGTCAGGTGATAGCCAGGTAAATACCAAGGGTAGATACTCATTGGGACCATTAAGACAGGTGCAAAGGAGAGTGATAGTCAGGTGATAGCCAGGTAAGTACCAAGGGTAGATACTCATTGGGACCATTAAGACAGGTGCCAAGGAGAGTGATAGTCAGGTGATAGCCAGGTAAGTACCAAGGGTAGATACTCATTGGGACCATTAAGACAGGTGCCAAGGAGAGTGATAGTCAGGTGATAGCCAGGTAAATACCAAGGGTAGATACTCATTGGGACCATTAAGACAGGTGCCAAGGAGAGTGATAGTCAGGTGATAGCCAGGTAAGTACCAAGGGTAGATACTCATTGGGACCATTAAGACAGGTGCCAAGGAGAGTGATAGTCAGGTGATAGCCAGGTAAATACAAAGGGTAGATACTCATTGGGACCATTAAGACAGGTGCCAAGGAGAGTGATAGTCAGGTGATAGCCAGGTAAATACCAAGGGTAGATACTCATTGGGACCATTAAGACAGGTGCCAAGGAGAGTGATAGTCAGGTGATAGCCAGGTAAGTACCAAGGGTAGATACTCATTGGGACCATTAAGACAGGTGCCAAGGAGAGTGATAGTCAGGTGATAGCCAGGTAAATACCAAGGGTAGATACTCATTGGGACCATTAAGACAGGTGCCAAGGAGATTGATAGTCAGGTGATAGCCAGGTAAGTACCAAGGGTAGATACTCATTGGGACCATTAAGACAGGTGCCAAGGAGAGCAATAGTCAGGTGATAGCCAGGTAAGTACCAAGAGTAGATACTCATTGGGACCATTAAGACAGGTGCCAAGGAGAGTGATAGTCAGGTGATAGCCAGGTAAGTACCAAGGGTAGATACTCATTGGGACCATTAAGACAGGTGCCAGGGAGAGTGATAGTCAGGTGATAGCCAGGTAAGTACCAAGAGTAGATACTCATTGGGACCATTAAGACAGGTGCCAAGGAGAGTGATAGTCAGGTGATAGCCAGGTAAGTACCAAGGGTAGATACTCCTGGGTCCATTAAGACAGGTGCCAAGGAAAGTGATAGTCAGGTGATAGCCAGGTTAGTATCAAGGGTAGATACTCATTGGGACCATTAAGACAGGTGCCAGGGAGAGTGATAGTCAGGTGATAGCCAGGTAAATACCAAAGGTAGATACTCATTGGGACCATTAAGACAGGTGCCAAGGAGAGTGATAGTCAGGTGATAGCCAGGTAAGTACCAAGGGTAGATACTCATTGGGACCATTAAGACAGGTGCCAAGGAGAGTGATAGTCAGGTGATAGCCAGGTAAGTACCAAGGGAAGATACTCATTGGGACCATTAAGACAGGTGCCAAGGAAAGTGATAGTCAGGTGATAGCCAGGTAAGTACCAAGAGTAGATACTCATTGGGACCATTAGGACAGGTGCCAAGGAGAGTGATAGTCAGGTGATAGCCAGGTAAGTACCAAGGGAAGATACTCATTGGGACCATTAAGACAGGTGCCAAGGAAAGTGATAGTCAGGTGATAGCCAGGTTAGTATCAAGGGTAGATACTCATTGGGACCATTAAGACAGGTGCCAGGGAGAGTGATAGTCAGGTGATAGCCAGGTAAATACCAAGGGTAGATACTCGTTGGGACCATTAAGACAGGTGCCAGGGAGAGTGATAGTCAGGTGATAGCCAGGTAAGTACCAAGGGTAGATACTCATTGGGACCATTAAGACAGGTGCCAGGGAGAGTGATAGTCAGGTGATAGCCAGGTAAGTACCAAGGGTAGATACTCATTGGGACCATTAAGACAGGTGCCAGGGAGAGTGATAGTCAGGTGATAGCCAGGTAAGTACCAAGAGTAGATACTCATTGGGACCATTAGGACAGGTGCCAAGGAGAGTGATAGTCAGGTGATAGCCAGGTAAGTACCAAGGGAAGATACTCATTGGGACCATTAAGACAGGTGCCAAGGAAAGTGATAGTCAGGTGATAGCCAGGTTAGTATCAAGGGTAGATACTCATTGGGACCATTAAGACAGGTGCCAAGGAGAGTGATAGTCAGGTGATAGCCAGGTAAGTACCAAGGGTAGATACTCATTGGGACCATTAAGACAGGTGCCAAGGAGAGTGATAGTCAGGTGATAGCCAGGTAAATACCAAAGGTAGATACTCATTGGGACCATTAAGACAGGTGCCAAGGAGAGTGATAGTCAGGTGATAGCCAGGTAAGTACCAAGGGTAGATACTCATTGGGACCATTAAGACAGGTGCCAAGGAGAGTGATAGTCAGGTGATAGCCAGGTAAGTACCAAGGGAAGATACTCATTGGGACCATTAAGACAGGCTCCAAGGAAAGTGATAGTCAGGTGATAGCCAGGTAAGTACCAAGAGTAGATACTCATTGGGACCATTAGGACAGGTGCCAAGGAGAGTGATAGTCAGGTGATAGCCAGGTAAATACCAAGGGTAGATACTCATTGGGACCATTAAGACAGGTGCCAAGGAGAGTGATAGTCAGGTGATAGCCAGGTAAGTACCAAGGGTAGATACTCATTGGGACCATTAAGACAGGTGCCAAGGAGAGTGATAGTCAGGTGATAGCCAGGTTAGTATCAAGGGTAGATACTCATTGGGATCATTAAGACAGGTGCCAAGGAGAGCGATAGTCAGGTGATAGCCAGGTAAGTACCAAGGGAAGATACTCATTGGGACCATTAAGACAGGTGCCAGGGAGAGTGATAGTCAGGTGATAGCCAGGTAAATACCAAGGGTAGATACTCGTTGGGACCATTAAGACAGGTGCCAGGGAGAGTGATAGTCAGGTGATAGCCAGGTAAGTACCAAGGGTAGATACTCATTGGGACCATTAAGACAGGTGCCAGGGAGAGTGATAGTCAGGTGATAGCCAGGTAAGTACCAAGGGTAGATACTCATTGGGACCATTAAGACAGGTGCCAGGGAGAGTGATAGTCAGGTGATAGCCAGGTAAGTACCAAGGGTAGATACTCATTGGGACCATTAAGACAGGTGCCAGGGAGAGTGATAGTCAGGTGATAGCCAGGTAAGTACCAAGGGTAGATACTCATTGGGACCATTAAGACAGGTGCCAAGGAAAGTGATAGTCAGGTGATAGCCAGGTTAGTATCAAGGGTAGATACTCATTGGGACCATTAAGACAGGTGCCAAGGAGAGTGATAGTCAGGTGATAGCCAGGTAAGTACCAAGGGTAGATACTCATTGGGACCATTAAGACAGGTGCCAGGGAGAGTGATAGTCAGGTGATAGCCAGGTTAGTATCAAGGGTAGATACTCATTGGGACCATTAAGATAGGTGCCAGGGAGAGTGATAGTCAGGTGATAGCCAGGTAAGTACCAAGGGTAGATACTCATTGGGACCATTAAGACAGGTGCCAAGGAGAGTGATAGTCAGGTGATAGCCAGGTAAGTACCAAGGGTAGATACTCATTGGGACCATTAAGACAGGTGCCAGGGAGAGTGATAGTCAGGTGATAGCCAGGTTAGTATCAAGGGTAGATACTCATTGGGACCATTAAGACAGGTGCCAGGGAGAGTGATAGTCAGGTGATAGCCAGGTAAATACCAAGGGTAGATACTCATTGGGACCATTAAGACAGGTGCCAAGGAGAGTGATAGTCAGGTGATAGCCAGGTAAATACCAAGGGTAGATACTCATTGGGACCATTAAGACAGGTGCCAGGGAGAGTGATAGTCAGGTGATAGCCAGGTTAGTATCAAGGGTAGATACTCATTGGGACCATTAAGACAGGTGCCAAGGAGAGTGATAGTCAGGTGATAGCCAGGTAAGTACCAAGGGTAGATACTCATTGGGACCATTAAGACAGGTGCCAAGGAGAGTGATAGTCAGGTGATAGCCAGGTAAGTACCAAGGGTAGATACTCCTGGGTCCATTAAGACAGGTGCCAAGGAAAGTGATAGTCAGGTGATAACCAGGTTAGTATCAAGGGTAGATACTCATTGGGACCATTAAGACAGGTGCCAGGGAGAGTGATAGTCAGGTGATAGCCAGGTTAGTATCAAGGGTAGATACTCATTGGGACCATTAAGACAGGTGCCAGGGAGAGTGATAGTCAGGTGATAGCCAGGTAAGTACCAAGGGTAGATACTCATTGGGACCATTAAGACAGGTGCCAGGGAGAGTGATAGTCAGGTGATAGCCAGGTAAGTACCAAGGGTAGATACTCATTGGGACCATTAAGACAGGTGCCAAGGAGAGTGATAGTCAGGTGATAGCCAGGTAAATACCAAGGGTAGATACTCGTTGGGACCATTAAGACAGGTGCCAGGGAGAGTGATAGTCAGGTGATAGCCAGGTAAATACCAAGGGTAGATACTCATTGGGACCATTAAGACAGGTGCCAGGGAGAGTGATAGTCAGGTGATAGCCAGGTAAGTACCAAGGGTAGATACTCATTGGGACCATTAAGACAGGTGCCAGGGAGAGTGATAGTCAGGTGATAGCCAGGTTAGTATCAAGGGTAGATACTCATTGGGACCATTAAGACAGGTGCCAAGGAGAGTGATAGTCAGGTGATAGCCAGGTAAGTACCAAGGGTAGATACTCATTGGGACCATTAAGACAGGTGCCAAGGAGAGTGATAGT